CCCCTCAGAGGGCCCAGCCTGTGGCAGGAGCAGCTTCAGTCCCCACCCAGCATGTGTAGCGCCAGGCTCTAGGGAGTGTGATGTGCTTGTCCTAAGGTCTCTGAACTGCCCCTGGAGCTCCCCATGCCCCCTGTGTGCTGCATCAAGCTCCAGATGCTTCGGAGACAGAAGATCACACTTGCCCCTTGGCGAAACATCCTCCAGGTGAACTAGCGGGCCTGGTGCCAGCCTGGCCCCTCCCCCAGCTCCTGGCCACTGTACCCCTGCCCTCCTGTGAACCCACAGGTGGCTGCACTCAGGCTGATGCAGAGGACCACCACTGCTGTCAGTAGGGACATGGGTGCTGTGTCCCCCCGACCCCTCTCACCACCGTGTGGGACAAGAAGGGCTTCGAGAGCCCTGGCAGGCTCTGTGTTTGGAGAGCAGGGCTGGCCAGAAGGTGACCCTCTGTGGCAGCAGGTTAATTTTATATTTGAGGTTTCCAAAGACATTAAAGTATTTCTTTCACACCTGGATACTTTGAGGTTTCCGAAGACATTAAAGTATTTCTTTCACACCTGGATTTCTACAGTAATCTGAGCCCAGGAAGAGGCCATGGCTACACGTCTCCCAGTGGAACTCCGAGGGTGCTATGGGCTGAGACAGGGTCCTGGTGGGTGGTCACCCATGCTGAGTGCTGGGCCTGGGCTGCCCCACATGCATGGCCACCCACCCACCCTGGCTCTAGCCTGTCTTCACCACTGGAGCACTGAGGGCAGGACCAGTGGCTCCTACTCATGCAGACCCAGCTCTGGGTTCATCAGAGCCTGCAGAACCCAATTGGGGTGTTCCCAGAACTGGGGCAGCACCCCCACCTCCTCTCAGCCTCTCTTCCTTCTCTTCCTGGGACCTGCAGGTGGGAGAGGCCGCCTCTGAGCTGGCCAGCCAAGTGGGAGGAGCCCCGACTCTTCCACAAGTCCCTGCCAGCCCTCCTGTGGCTCTTGATGATACCAGTTGCCTAAGTTTGGGTGGTATTGTTCCTGGGGTGGGGCACCCAGCATACACCTGAAAATCTGCCCTGATCCCCCAGGGGCCCAGCTTAGGGTCCCTGGCTTCTATGTGAGTTGGGGGTACATCTCTCCCAGGTGTGACCCAGACATGTTGACTCTGGGAAGCTCCCCTCTGTCCCTCCCAACTCTGGGGCAGCTACAGAACTGGGTACAGTAGGGAATGAAGGTTTGGACCAGAGGAGGAGCCAGGCTGGGGCAGAGTTCTTCCAAGCCTTGTCTGCCAGGCCTGGTGGAGGTCGCATCTGTACTGGGAGGGAGAGACCTCCCCTCTTCCCATGGCCTCCATGGTGTTGGGCAGCCAAAGGGCCAAAGCTGTCCTAGGTGGGTTGGGACTTTGGTCAGTGGCTGTCATATAGGGTGGGCCAAGGTTCAGGGAGAGTAGTGGTCAGATCGAGACAGCAGAGATGAGGCGCAGTCCCTCCTGCTCCTGGGGCAGAAAGTTTAGCCTCACTTCCCACCTGTGAGCCAGTTTCACTCCTTGCTTTCTAGAGCTGTTATGGGGTGAGCTGGCAGCCAGGGCAGTGTACATGTGTATGTTCATGTGGTACACACGTGTTTGCCCGTGTGTGTGTGTGTGTGTGTGTTTGACCTAAGCGGGCAGCCAGCATCTATGTAGGCACAACTTCCCTGTGGCCCTTCTGCTGGCTCTCACCACTCATCCCCGGGGTAGGGTCAAGGAGGGCCTGGCTGGCCTACCATCCCTCTGGCTGCCCAGTACAGTCAGTGAACGGAGCACAACCATAGACATGGGCTGCTAAACTTCCATTTGTCTGCAAGTGGTTAATGCAGCCTCTCCCTCAGCTGAGCCTGGAGGG